CGGGCGGTGCCTGACTTGAGTCTGAATCCACATCTCAACTGCAGGCACTGCTGTGTAAGATACATGTCAACCAAGGTAGGTTCAGAAATAAATTGATGTTCACAGAAGGAAGAGTTGAACTCTGCTCTCACCTGCATTGGGAGTTATTACTTGCCCTTAGTCCTTCTTTCACATTCATGTCAGTCGGACGTGGTATCTCCTACCTACCTTAGAGTGCTCACTTATTAACTGGGAAGGGATGCTTTAAGTTGCCCAAATCACGAAGAAGGTTCCATCCACGACTATATTACCAGGAGCTCCCTTTTGCTTTCCTTACGTATGAACACAGCAAGGCCAGTCTTGGTTGTAGGCTAGCCATAGCACAAGCGTCCATCAGCAGTTAATTTTCACGTTACCTTGAAGAATCACCAATTGCACTGGAGTATCACACTGCGGGCATAGAATTTGAGGTATCGTCTATGAAAACCATGGGAGCAAGCGACACCTCAGAGACAATAGCCTCACTAGGGTCCTGGAGCAACTCTTCCTTCGCCTCAAACATCTCGGAACGTAGCCGCCGTCGACATATCAAGCCACCAATATTCTGATAACTCACCCGAGCTTCTCGGAAACACATAAAAAGCAGACAAAAACGAGTTGATTCCTACCCCTCTCACTGGGCTGGACTACTTACCTACCTCAACAAGCCCAACTCTACCTCACTCCCGAGCTTATTCTCCAATTAAGCCAGCTCTTTGATTTCCAAAAGTCTCAAGACAAAGAAACGATGCGCTCGCCTTTCCTTATCCCTCTCCTCCTCGCCATCCCCTCTGCCCTGGCATCACCCTCACCCTGTCTCACGCCAACAATCCAATGTCCCCTCGTCTTCGACGGCCGCGTCCCCGTCACAGCGACGCCGCGGGACTTTGATACGTCTCTGGGCGGGGGTGGAATCCGTATAATCCAGATTACGTAAAGGGGACGAACTTGTCTTGGTCGGATATCATCCTACTGCCGGGCCCGGCTCCGGTCCCCACCCGGCCCGGGTCACGGTCCTCCCGCTTTGATACTGCGGAGAAGAAGCGTTCTCTCGAGGTCACAATTTCCGACGCGAGTATTTTCATGAACCAACAAGGTTTTAGGCGCGCAGGGTTGTTGTTTTCGGGGGATGCGAATGAGGGGAGTCCTGCGGGGGAGGGCGTGAAGACGCTGCATTTTAGTGTGAGGTTGGATTTGGAGAGGCCGTTGAATTTGACGCATGAGTATCTTGTAAGTCTTCTTCGTTGCATGCCCGTCTTGCTATGGGGAACGTGAAGGCCAAGTTTTGAATGCAACTTTTGCTGGTATTGAAGCTGATAATTCTTTGGGAAAATGTAGAATGTCTGGCACGAGACGGCGGCGTACGATGCGAATCAGTTCAATTTCCAGACCGGCACCATCATCGGCCAGCCGGAATTACCCAAAGACACGTTCAAGTTGTTGGATCGGGATAATAAGCTGCTCTGGTCGATGCCGATGGCGATGGATGGGTCGTGGCAGAACTTTGCGCTCACGTTGGACTTTTTGAACAAGTGAGTTGAGCCACTCTTACTCCTACTCTTTTTCGCTGATCCTCGAATGACTCACCAAACGTAATTTGGTGATTTGCGAAAAGACAAGGAATTTCTGGCTGACAATTTGCCTCCAAGTACAATTCAGATATGGTACTCTGTGGGCGACAACCCGCTCGCGAGACAGGGTGGTGCCGTCCCGGTTGACCTCGCTGGCGACGGGCAGTACCAGATTGGCATCTTGAAGAAGCCCACGGGTACCGATGACGTGGTGAACTCGGGGTATCAATCCAGCAACCTGAACGAGGGTCTGATTTACGGTGGGATATTCATCGAAGATAGCGCCGATGGTTGTGTGTCTATTTGAGAGATTGCTTGTCTCCAGGTTGTCCAAGGCTTCGGTTGCCATGAGCCCATCTCTATACTTCCAAGTCTAATGATGCACTTCCAAGTCCCTATCTGCAAATCTATAACCACCATCTCTGTATCGCACTTCGTAAATGGACCTGTAAGAATGCCAGAACTCTAATTCTACCCTCTTCTCACCGAGCACCTGGGAGGGTGTGTGTGACCCCCCAGAGAGGCTTATTCTTGCACATTCACGGCAGTAAAGCTCGCTTTTAACGGAGCGATGCTAATGACGCCATTAAGCGAAGCCCACAGGTCCTCACCCTCGGGACTCTCCTCAGCTTGCCGTTTAATATCACGAAGTTGCGGCGCCCACCGAAACTGATACGTACGCGACGACGATGCCGGCACCGACATCGCCAACTTCTTCTCAGGATCGGCAGCAGAGTCGTTGAGCACGGGAACAAACAAGCCCCCCGTGACCCATCTCCCCTCCGCGATCTTCGTCAACCTCACCGGCGCCTCACCGACGTCGGTGACCATGGGCATATTGACGCTATACACCTCCACCTGCGGGTGCCACTCCCTCACAAGCTCCTCCACGAGCTTCACAGCACGCACGCACGCCGCGCGGATGGTCGTCGCGGGTTGCGGGTCTTTACTCCCGAAGCTGAGGGCCACGGCGCGCCGCCCGCACTGCGCTGCTTCCAGGGCGCCGCCGACGGTGCCGCTGCTGAGTGCGTAGACGGTGCCGGCGTTGCGGCCGTGGTTGGGGCCCGAGAGGACGAGGTCAAAGTCTTGCGGGGAGAGGTTGGGTGTGTGGAAGAGGCCTAGTTGGGTGCAGCTTGCTGGGGGACCGTTTACGATGAGCCAGCGGTGGGTGCGGTCTTCGGTTTCAGCGCAGTCGGGGACGTTGCAGTCATCTGCAGAGAATGACGCTGGACATCTGCTCTCTGCGGTCAGGGTCTTACCGACGGCGTGGGCTTTACCGATCCACGAGAGCGGCTTGTCGGGGATGACCACGACGGTTGTGTGGCCCGCCTCGTTCAGGGCGGTGATGAGGGGTGCCAGGTAAGGCGAGACGGGGGACGGGGGACCGTCGTCGTTGACTACCTACGGACACGGAAGAGAGAGAGGCGTACTCATCAGCTTATTTGATGTCCCTGCCGTACGTTGTAACCATGTAAGCCGGGTATAACCCACGCATTGTGTGTGTGTGAGTGACCCGGCCTAGGGGAAGATCGTAGGCCAGTTTTATTTACCAAGAGCCGCATTGTCGCACGTCGGCGATGTCCTAAGGACAGAAAGACGAAAACAAAGAGATGGGAGTTGATATGCCGAGGTAGGTCAGGCAGCGATATATTGGCAAATCTGGCGCCGGTGCGTTTGGCTTTTTCTTGATGCCTCTTCTAGTGGTTTTGATGGGGTAGTGCCGTAGCCGTAGTGGTAAGCAGTGGGTAGATCCAAAGGCAGGCTGCCGCCGAGCCGCAGCAGTGACGGACGGAAGAATGCAGAAACAGGGATCAGAGAAAAAGAAGGCAACCGAGGGCCAAGATCAGGCTGCCCGGCTGTGGTTCCGCGGATGAGGCAGACGAACAAAAAAAACAACAAAAAAAAGGTGGTGTAAAGGAGAGTTTCCGGGACAGACTGTAGCTGGGCGAAGTATGACGCGCGCGCGCTTCGGTCACTCAAAAGAGGGAAAAATGAGAAAAGGGCTGTCTGGCTGGCTGGGTTATAAGAGACAACACCAAACGGGGGGTACAAGAAAAGTCCCGATGTTAGGTATGACTCTTACCTTGGTCCATGGGAGAAACCCACAGGGCTGATATTATCTGTGTTCACCTTACCTACACCACCTGGCCGGGAGTCAAGAAGGGTCTGTTTTGTGTCGTGTCCTGTCATGTGGCACGGTATTGACTTTGTCCGATACATCTGAGAAGAACTGAAAATTGGTGACCCCTCTTCTTCATCCATCCCGGTCCAGTTCTTGTCTTTCGGTTGACCCCGCCGACCACGGAGCACGGCAGCGCCGTATCGGATGGATCTACGAACGGGACCATGGTCGAGTGCACGAGAAGGGAAAGTCGAGGTAGATGAGGGTGGGATAATGCCTCCAATGTTCGGATCAAGACCAAAAGTCCACACACACCGTAAATGCGACTCAGAAGTACTGCGTAGCCATAGAACTTGGCACGCTTGTGGGCTTTTGGGAAATACTTGAACTTTGGGACGAGGCGTCCCGGGTCGGTGGTGCGCCTTGCAGTTTGCCCAACGTGAGCTTCGGCAGGCTCTCACCTCTCTCACCTCTCTCATCGCTCTCTCTCTCTCCATCTCTTGGTCCACCACCCACCCGCCCTGTCTGTATGGAGTATGGACTACGAGATGGTGTAGTGGAGAGGAAGTACTTACCTTACACCCTGCTTTGTACCCTGCCTATGTACCCTCCTCATGGACATACCCACCTTGCCATGTACGGATGGAGATGGAAACCAAACATTGGGGAGGAGGAAAGAAAGTGTCTAAATCATTGGACGAAATGTGTGCGAGAGAACCAAGAACCGGTGTAAGCCGCCATCTGCCGCCCTATATCGGAGCCCTGGAACTCCCTTCCCCGGCGCCAACTTCTGCTGTAACACACCGAAAGGTGTGCACGTTTCCCCTTGCCCAGGGGTCTGGTTGGTCCATCAAGTCCCCTGGGCTACACTAAGGAAAGCACCGCGCAGATGCCACAGCAGAGATAGAGAGAGAGAGAGAGAGAGGCGGAAGGGTACCAGAAGCTTTCCTCTCATCCGTTCCCACTCACACACACACACACCCTTCGTCAACCACATGCCAACGACACACGCAGACAGACAGACAGACAGACAGACAGACAGACAGACAGACAGACAGACGGGCAGCTCCAATGAATCTAATCAAGGCCCAGCCAAGCAACAGCAGAGCCTCGTCTTGCCAACCCAGGCAAACAATACCTTATGAAGGGCCTCCCATCCCCTCCCCAGCCTGGTTGGGGCACTCACTTCCTCTTCTTGCCACACCTCTGGGCAAACTTACTCTAACACAGCCTTCTTGAAATAAAGTAGGCATTCATTAATCAAAGTCACCTTGACATTGGAAACTGGTATGGCACACTGGGATAACATCAAGAACAATACCCCATTCACATGGGCCGGGCAATCGGCCGACGACCCCTTCAGCCAACAACAATGGGCGGCAGCAGCAGCAGGTCATGATGGCTCTTCTGCTCAGCCCATCGGTCCCGCCGGTCTCCTCAGCACCGACGCTCCTAGGAATGATGAATCCTTGATCAAGTGAGTTGAAACATCATTTTCTCTTTTGCCCGAGACATAGTCATCGTCTGACAGTCATCCAGGGACTTTTACAACGAGCTTCAAGATGATATTCATCAAGCCGGCGTCTCCGGTCTGTCGTCCACTTGGCCGCCTACCAACGCAGCTGTGGCAGACCAGAACGATCTTCCCTTCGACCTCGCCATTGGCAATGGCATAGACCTCGACGCCGCTAAACCTGCGTCGTCAGAGCTGGCCCGTACAAGCAGCCAGGCGAGCTCGTCCGGCGTCGATGAGGAGGAATCTGTCGTCTTCAGCCATGCCGGCGACTTTAGTAGCGGTCTTGGGTTCGATGATAGCTTTGGACGCGGCTTCTTTGGCAGCATCAACAGCCCGAGCACCACCTTCTCCGACGCGATCCTGTCTACGAACCATTCTCTGGAGAGCAGTCCTGTCGTGAATACTAGATGTCCGTATCTCAGTATGCAGGCAGAGAGTCCCGTTTCTGGCGCTTCATCGGCGACGGCGGCAAACACCCCGCAATCATCCGTACTCAGCGTCGACGATGCCTTCGCCGACATTGGGTTTGCTTCTGCAGATACGCCAAGAAGCGTCCCGGGCCCGCATGTCAGCGCCCTGTCGACGGGCTTGGCGAACCAGACTTCCTTTTCGGCCAGCTTGAGTCTGAGTCCTACGTCGCCATTCTATGATCGTTGGGATTCTGATGTTGGGGAGGGAAGAGTTGACGATTTTGACCATCTGATGTGGGATACTCCGTCGATTTCCGAAGGCTTTATTCCGTACAACGCGAACCAGTTAGGCCCGTCGTTAGTAGTCGTTCCTCCCGATATGCCCGACATTCACATGGGCGACTTTGGAGATGGTGCGACTCCCGACGCGCCGTCGTCCTCGCAGACGCATCCCATTGACTACTACCTCAATGAGATGTACACAGCTCCTCGATTGACTCAACCTCGGAGCGTCCCAAACACATCGGCGGCACAGAACCCTGCCGTGACCGCGGCTAGTGGTCTTCTGGCTCCGGGTATGATCCCGGGTAGAAGACTCAGGAGACGATCAGACCCGGTTCGTATGGACGCAGTCATCAGAGGACAGGTCACGAGACTTCAATCAGCCATGGGCAGCACCACTCCTGCATCGCAACGCAGAAGCCCCGTTCAACGTACCACGGCTCAATTCCTCTCTGTATCTGGCGCTTCTCACTTCCAGAGATTGCGGTCATCCGAGCCACCGCGGAGGTCAGGCGTGACAGAGCCAATGCCCATCGTGGCCCGTCCAAGAAGGTTGAGCAACAGCAGCAGTAGCAGATGCTCTGACACGCAAAGCCTCGTGGGCCGCCCTGGTCGATCAGGTCCGGCTCGAGGGCGCCGCCACGGTCCGATGGATCCCGTTTCTCGTGGACAGGCCAAGGAGACGCGGAACAAGAAGATGGTGTGCATTCGCTGCAAGCACTCCAAGCAAAAGGTAAGCAACCCTAGCCGGCAGTCCGTGGTGCTTTTTACTAACACGCAACCAGTGCAATCGAAGCGATGATTCCTTCCAGGGCTCTTGTACCGGATGTGACAAACACGGCGGCTCTCAAAGATGGCCAGGGCCCTGTGTCCGAGCCCATTTCGAGGATCTCATTCAAGCGGGAACGTGTAACTACATCTGTAAGTCCATCTTTGGTTTGGAACTCCGATATCTTCCACGTTAAGACTAACCATCATGCAGCACAACACGCCATCTATCACCCGACCCTCGACAACAAGACTCGCATCCGCAGAGAGCTCCCAAGACAAATCCAAATCGATAACCTCATCCACAGGGTAAACCGCGCGCGAAATCAGTTCAACTTACGCGTCCACCAAGACGGCCGCCCCATCTACGTCCTAGACCTTGACGCGTGCTACGAGTACCTTCACGGCCTCCGACAGCAAATGGACAGCAGCGAGTGCAGCTTCCAGGTCTTTATCGACCGAGAGATCCTACGCGTCGATCCCAAGACAGACGACTGGGAGCGCTGCATGACCCAGTTGACGACGTCGCGAGAGGACCCGCTCGCCTTACTCTGCCTCGTCAACAACATGCCCAGCCGCGCAGGCTTCTCGTATGTTTTCAAGCGGCAGTACACATCCATGGGCACACCCATGGAGCAGTCCCTGAATCCCGAGAACTCGCTCGAGGCGGAGAACCTCGTCCTCGCGGCCCAGCTTTCGAAGATCATGTGCCGCAAGCTCGAGGTCAAGGCCTACGGGAACCTGCAGCGCCTCCTGCACGAGTCGGGAAACATGGACGACGACAAGGTTCTACCGTTTCTGCAGAGGCTCGGTCGGATACTCCTGACGCTGCGCTGGCGACTATCGTGGTGGGCCGTGGTGCCCGGGGACGCTGCCGCGTACGACAAGGTGAACGATGACGTGAGAAAACAGGCTGTCCACGCGCGAGTACAGTCTCTGTGCCGAATCCTCTACTTTTACTACTGCTGCGTGCGGAGGAGGTTGCCGGTGTGGACGAATGTTGATGCGCTGAGGGGCATCCACTCGCGGTACCCGGACACCGAGGCTGAGATTTGGGATGACTTTCCTGGCAATGAGAGCCTCGAAGGGTTCGATGTGTGGATGGAGCGAGGTACGGGGCTGATTCGCGAAGCTGGGGTGTTGAGTCGATTGCGCGCGATGGGGTTGACTGCGTGAGAGAGAGTTTGTGCGAATTTAGCTTCTTCTTTTTCTGGGCGATTCGGGTCTCTTCCTCGTTCTTTTGGGATTCTCTTTTGGTCTTTGTTTTACGTGGCCTTGATTATGATCTTTTTTTTAGCGATGTAGGCGTTTGGAGGTTATTTGCTACAAATTCATGAAAGGGAGAAACAGCACACTCGTTGGAAGATGTTAGTTGGGATTTAAGGCGTTCTGTTTTGGGGACACTATATGAGATACCATAGAAGAAACGGGCGTGATTGGGAGGTATAGCAAGCGTCTGTCGTTTAGACGAATCCAATAATCTGCTTTTCAATGCCATGTTTGAATTGCCCTTGTGAGGGATGTCTCCATGGGTGTGACATGATGAAGAAATGGATTGAAGATCGAGCCTGGCTCATTCTGGGCTCTGCTATCTGCTTAAATGTATGATACTCAAGTCTTCGATGAATTCACTCAAGTGAACCGGACTTATCTTGCAGCTCTGAGCGTACCATCGTTGCTATCGAATATGGACAGTGGGCACACTACTTCCACAACACACTTACACAGCACACTGCCCCCCATGCTGTGTACTTTTGAAGAATGTCAATTGAGCGAGAAGGTAAGTGTCGACCAATGTACCAAATCGAACCAGCTAGTTCCAGTCCGTATTAATGCAAAGTGAAAGAGATAATGCCAATTGCCCAGCAATGATGGAAACCGTCACGTGTGTCTCTGGCTGGAGTCATCGGTGCAGATACGAAATACGATCCGGGGGACTCAGCCCCGGCTGCGTCCAATGGTGAGCTTCGGTGGGGGTGCGCCGGGTGGGGCCGTGAATGGCCGCTTTGGCCGCTTGGCTTCATTGCCCCGGTGGTGATCGGCCTTGCACGGGATTGGGGTTGCTGGCCTCATAGTACCGTAGGTAGGTAGTCTTGATGAGGAGATGTAAGCTTGGGAATTGATCAAGTCGGATAATTGGATGGTTTGGATTTTTTTGTATAAGTATGGGCTTGTTGTCTTCATTTCTGTGGTTAACCTAGGTAGATTGTGAAGACGAACATCGTTTTTTACAACATTCTCAAAGTATTCCAACACTGGGAAGAGACCATTGATGTCTAAACTTTCTGTACCTTGAGATCTTTGCCACATTTACCTTAAAGGCAACACTAAAGACAAACATTATGAATTTCATGGGCAGAAAGAGCGACGTCAAGCAAGAAGACGTGGCCAACATCCCGCCCGAGCTATCAGACCTACACTGCTTCACAGAAACAGGCGGCGTCATCACAACAAGTACGTCCCCATCTACCTACCTTGCCTTATACAACCCCCACATACACTCCCACGTGAATACACAGCGATGTTGACACTGGGGCAAGCAATGTTCGACATCCCCGGCTATCGCGTAACCCGCACCCTAGGCGCAGTCTACGGCCTCTCTGTGCGCTCGCGCAACATCGCCGCAAGCCTGGGCATGGTGATCAAGTCCTTTGCGGGCGGGGAGCTGCGGTGGTTCACGACGATGCTGTATAACTGCCGCAACGATGCGCTGGGCAGGGTCGTGAGCGAGTGTAAGCAGCGGGGCGGGAACGCGATTATTTGTCTGAGGTTTGATGCGTCGGATTTGGGTGGGTTCGCGCAGACTTGTGCGTATGGGACGGCGTGTGTTGTTGAGAAGGTTGAGGGAGGGGATGGGGTTGCGCCGCAGCTTGGGGGGGAAGTAGAGAGGATGTTTGGGTAGAGTAGAGTGAGAAGGAAAGGAAAGGAAAGGAAAGGAAAGGGAAGGAAAGGGAAGGGGGGAGAGAAAGAATGAGGTGAGGTTGTCGTGGGGGTTGAGCTTGGCAGGGTGAGGTTTTTGTTTCATGGAGGCCTGCGGTAGCTGGGAGGAGTGAATTTTGATACCACTGCGTTGTAGTTGATGTTATTTTGAGAGGTAGCTGAATCGATCACTTTGACAAGTCAAACATGTTTGGACAGACAAGTATAGACTGCTCTTATAAGTGATACGGAGAACATTGAAACAATGATGGTCTGTTGTCGATGATCTGCAGTTGATGTCGTGATGCTCATGCATGGGCGAAGACCAGATGGACTGCAGATGAAGGTGAGATGAGAATGGAAGCAATGGTGGCCAGTGTCTGGCTGGGTGAAGAATATGCCTCTCTCTCTCTCTCTCTCTCTCTCTCTCTCTCTCTCTCTAACTCGATTAAGATGAGAACATTGACCTGCCTTTAACGGAACGTTTGGCTTCCAGCCCAGTGCAGAAGGAAGAAACGGAGGTGCAGTATCATCTCACCTTAAAACAGCAGGGTCCCAATCCTGCGATAAGGCAAGATAAGGACGGCTTAGCTAAGACCTGCTGCATTCGAACAGTTACCTTAGACGAGACACCACACCCTGCTGACTGCCCCCGGCTAGCTCCGAAGAACCATTGAAACGGGCCAAGTCCACTTGCTGCCGCACTCCGCATCCGTCTCCCACAGCGGTGGTACTCGACATCCAGGCCACGTCCGCCAGGGGATCCGCCGCTAGACCCAAGCCAATGGATGCACCTGTGGACCACTGAGCACCCAAGGTCCCAGCTCCCCCCAAGTACCCAGACAGGTAGGCACTGAATGTGCTCTTTGTTCATTGACTCGCCTCCACGGCCACGGCCTCGGCCTCATCCACGTCCACTCCACGATCCTTCGCACCTACACAACTCTCCGACATTCCCCCTTCTCCTCCCTCACCTACGGGTGCTTCTCGTATCTTCTTCTGTGCTCGTCCTACCCTTCCGACGGCCCTCCTGCAACACCACACCAGATACGAACCCTCCGGTCCATGGGGTGTCGTTGCGTTCTCTTATTTCCAAAAGAGGGCTGAAGCTGCCTCGAGACAGCATGCCGTTTCAAGTCACCGCGCAATCCACCTAGTTTCGATCCCATCTTTCTTTAGCTTTGCCATCTGCTGCCCTGCTGCCCTTTCGCCTTGGCAAAGCTTACCCCCCCGGACCCAAGAACCGAACTTACCGTCAAACCCTCCCGACCGACGAACTGATAACCACCCGACGAGACCTCTCTCCGTCTCCGTCCTCCGACACCATGGACCCAGCACCAAGCGCCTCCGCTGCACCCACCGCCGAGGACCCCAGGATGTCCCACGAATCGTCCCTCTCGAGCGTGTCCACCACCAGCCTCGTCTTCGACCGACTGCACGAGCAGAATGAAAAGTCATACTCGTCTTCATCTTCCCAGAGGCGCCGCGCACCGTCCGCCTCGCGCCCCGCTTACGTCGACCACCCGGACGACGACGACGACGACAACGATTACAAAGAGTCCGACGCCAATGACCTCGAGACGGGGCCCTTTTTGGCGCCCACAACGGGCATGATGCGCCGTGTAGGCATGGACCGCGGGCTGAAGAAGGGGATATGTATTCTGGCAGCTGCATTCCTCCTCGCATGGGGAGGTGCTCTGTTCGTGTTCTTGTCCCGCAAGTCATACCAGCACGGCAGTCAGGTCGACCACGACCCCTCTGCGACATCGCGCGGATCCGGCAAGCCGGTGACCTTGGACCAGGTCATGACGGGCTTCTGGTCGCCCTATTCTCACTCAATAAGCTGGATCGAGGGGCCTAATGGAGAGGATGGCCTGCTGCTCGAGCAGGGTGCCCGGGGCAAGGATTATCTCGTGGTCGAGGACGTCAGGGCGGGCAAGCTGGACCGCCAGGTCTCCGCCGAGGTCGTCCAGAGTCGCACGCTTATGAAGAACCCTTGGATCAACGTTGGTGGCCGCCAAATGACACCGTACGATGGCCGGCCGAGCAAGGACATGAAAAAGGTGCTCGTTTCGACCGATCGCAAGCACAACTGGCGCCACTCCTTCACCGCGCTGTACTGGATCTTCGACGTTGAGACCCAAACCGCTGAGCCTCTAGACCCTGAGCATTCTGACGCACGCGTGCAGCTTGCGACGTGGAGTCCTCAGAGCAATGCCATCGTTTTCACTCGGGACAACAACTTGTTCTTGAGAAAGCTGGATGGCGACAAGAAGGTCACGCAAATCACAAAGGATGGTGGCCCCGAATACTTTTACGGTATCCCCGACTGGGTCTACGAGGAGGAAGTCTTTGCTAGTAACAGCGCTACCTGGTACTCTCAGGATGGCAAGTATGTCGCCTTCTTGCGCACCAACGAGACGGGTGTGCCCGAGTACCCTTTGCAGTACTTCATGTCTAGACCCTCGGGCAAGGAAAAGCCCGCCGGCGAAGAGACCTACCCGGACGAGAAGCGCATCAAGTACCCTCGCGCCGGTAGCCATAACCCCGTCGTAGACCTGCTCTTCTACGATGTCGAGCGTGGCGACGTTTTTTCCGTGGACATTGAGGGTGGTTTTGCCGATGACGACAGACTCATCAACATGGTCCTCTGGGCGAACAACAAGGTCCTCATCAAGGAGACCAATCGCGTGAGCGATATTATGCGCGTGGTGCTCGTTGACGTTGTGGCTCGAACAGGCAAGACTGTGAACACCATTGACGTTGGCAAAATCGACGGCGGCTGGTTCGAGATTTCTCACGAAACTCAGTTTATCCCTGCTGACCCTGCCAACGGAAGACCGGACGATGGATACGTCGATACCGTGATTCACGATGACGGCGACCACATTGCCTATTTCTCGCCCATGGACAACCCCGAGCCTGTTTACCTCACTGGTGGCAATTGGGAAGTTGTAAACGGCCCCTCCGCCGTCGACCTGGCCAACAACTTGGTCTACTTCGTGTCTACCAAAGAGTCCTCTATCCAGCGTCACGTATACAGCGTCCACCTCAACGGCTCCGACCTGAAGCCGTTCACGGACACCAACTTTGAGAGCTACTACGACATCTCATTCTCGAGCGGCGCAGGCTTCGGTCTTCTCTCGTACCTGGGCCCCAAAATCCCTTGGCAGAAGGTCATCAGTACTCCAAGCAACCCCACCAGCTACGAGCATGTCGTCGAACAGAACACGCAGCTCGCTGAAAACGCAAAGAAG